TTACAATCTTATTACTATACCGCGGAACTTTTCCAGCGATGACGTCAAAATGTTTACAAAAATCAGAGTTAAAAAAGTAAGCACTTATCTTTATACATGAGCAAAAAATAACTATAATATCACAATATAATCATTTTGATGTAATCGCTGGAAAACTTCCGCACTATACTTATTTTTAACATTTTTTATTAAGTTTAAATGACTATTTGGTAAATGAATAATACAAAAAAAAAAACAAAAATATCCAATAAACAAAACAAAACAACAAATATTTGTTACGTAGTGTAATTTAATTTTTCTACCCATTAACTCAACTTTCCCACGAATTTTGGTCGTTTTTCTAAAAATCAGACATAAATAAATACAAATACATAATTTATTGCCCAACAGTTTAAAGTCAGTTGCAGGACAAAATATTTTATATACTAATTTAAATATAAAACATATCCATATAAATCATATTTGGGTAAGTACAATTTTTGAGGCATTATAAAAGCTAAATAAAAAATAAAATATAAGTACACTACTTATAAAAAATATATAAAAAAATATTTAATATTTAATATATAAAAAAATATTTATTAACAATAATTAAGTATTTATATAATAAATTAATATTTATAAACAAATACAGTCATTCTAGCACATTTGATTTGACGAAAATATCATTAAGTGACGTGTGATGTATTTCAATATCAGAATTTAAATTTTTGTACTGGTGCTTACATAGTATGTTGGTCTGCAGATTTGTGCACATGCATATAACATTTACAGTTACAGGACAAAATATTTTATATACTAATATAAATATAAAATTTATTCATATAAATATTTTTATGTAAGTACAATTTAGCATTATAAAAGCTAAATAAGATATAAGTACACTACTTATTAAAAAAAGATATGAAGAATATTAATAAACAAACAGTCATTCTAGCACATTTGATTTGAATAACAGAATAATTATTTATTTCAATTATTTAAAAGGGTGTAGTTTATACATATAACATTTACTGGTGATTACGTAGTATGTTGCTCTGCAGATTTTTGCACATAAGATTTACTGGTGCTTACATAGTACGTTGGTTCTACAGATTGAAGTGAGCATTGAGCGTGATTTATTTTTGGGGACGATAAGATTTATGTAAATTAAAAAAATGGCACAGTTATTTTATTATTTAACAGCTTAAATAAAAATGTAAATTTTAACTACTAAATTCATTTATTCACTAAATTATAGACACAAAAAATCCATTTCTATAAAAAACTCTTAAACTGTTAAAATAATTACATTTAAGTCTGATAAACCATGTCTTATCGACTTTATCTACGTTTTTAAATATATCAACGAACATAAAAATGTTTCGTTTCTTTTACTAAATTTACTTGAACACTGATATATATATATATATATATATATATATATATATATATATACACCGGCCTCGGTGGTGTAGTGGTCAGAGCTCCTGTCACTTCAAAATTTTTCACACTTTATTCATTCCTCCACTTTTACACTTTTTTCATACTTTCCCCTCTCTCGATCATATACCCTTGTCAGGATTACCTCAAAATTACCAAAATTACCAAAATTATTAAATTCTCTAAATTCAAACCCCCTTTGTACCTTTATACCTTTATAGTTAGGCCGTTTACAAAATTTATTATGTATTATTGTTAAATAAATTAATTTGGAATTTGAATTTGGAATTTGGAATTTGGGTACGAGCCGAGAGGTCGTGGGTTCGAATCCCACTTGGGTATGGTTGTTTATTTGTGTTTGTCCATTGTGTATAGTCCTTCGGAGGGGACTTTAAGCCGTCGGTCCGTTCCTACCCCTAACCCGCACAAGCCATTCAGTTGGCTTATGGGACATCTTAGTTTGGATGTAAGGGTGGAACTAAAAGAGCACTTTATATATATATATATATATATACTATACACTGGATAACGGATAGCGGTGATGAGGGTGTTCCGATTTTTTTATAAAGCAGTGGCTTGTACGGGGCTTGGGGGAGATGAGGCAATAGGGCCAGTTATACGACTCTTATACTCATACTCACGTCACACCTTTCACGGAATGTTAAAAATACGTTTAATTCAAAATTGCGAACAGGTGCGAAACCTAGATTTTTTTTTATTTTATGTTTCTGTTTGTATGTTTTTTTACATATTTTGTTTCTCCAAAAAATTTTAGTATATTTTATTTTAGTAAAAAATATTTATTTATTAACATCCCAAGCTATAATATTCCCCAATAAATTATTATTTTCTATAGCAAAAATAATTTATCAGCTATTTTACAAAATAAATTTTAAGTAAAAATCTTAAAGTTGATATTTTTTATTATTAATTTTAAACTTGTTTTTAATGATTTTTATATTAATTTTATAACGTATACGAGTTTAATTGAGCATATAAAAACGAGTGCCTAGAGAAGTTTATAAACGAGTTGCATACTATACTTTATCTACGACGAACACAAAACAGAATTTAAAGCCAATTTTATTTACTTTACCTCACTTTTTCCCAATTTATAATAAAGCTAACTTCAGCCCGTGACGTAAAATGTCTAAAAGCCACTGTTGTTAACTTCAGCCCGTCAATAAAACGACTCATCAAACAGCTCGTCAATGTAGGAGTAGATAAATATATTTTTCTACGACCACTATGTAAAAGTTACTTTTCATGATGGCATCGTTGCTTAGAAAATGAATCTTTTTATTGGCAAGGCAAAACACGAATGTAAAGTGACATTTCTGTGTGAAAAGTGACAGGTCTGTGTGAAAAGAACCGGAAAGCATCGTTTGACATTCAGCTGTCAAAAAAGTTTTTAGGTTATTTTGTTTTGTATTTAAAAATAATAAAAAATAAAAGGGTCGCAGAAAAAACATTGTGTTATACTTGTGAGAAAAGCTTTCTTCAAGCTCGTGTTAATGCACACTCGGCCTAACGGCCTCGTGGGCAACTTAAAAACTCGCATGAAAAAGTCGCTTTTCAACACTTGTAAAAAAAAAAAACTATTAAATTTAACTAAAAGATGGCTTAAGTGAAACTAATCTTATTAGCTAATCTTGCCATATAGTATACATACATGTATGTATATCATTGATTAGTCCTTTACTTAAGGCCTTTATAATGAAGACTGCCGCTGCAGCATTTTATTTTTGGCAGCCTTTTATACTGTGGGTCATATTCTGGCCAAAGAGTATTTATTTTTTTAAGGTCTTTATCTTAAACATGCTTTTGGTCTTGCCAAATCCTTAAACGATTTTTTTTGTGTTTTTCTTTACCACGGCATTTTAAAAAAAGTACTAAGAAATTAAACAGCTTAAATGTTTCTAAATAAAATATTTTGTTCCACATTTACGTGAAATTAAGATATTATACATATTAACAATAAAGAAAGTAATATATTATTACACTAGTTAAATATCGAAAGTGGAAAAATAAAAAAGAAGAAAAAGAAAATAGAGATGATACAACTTTATATCAATATAAATATATAAATTTAATTCACAATAAAGGCAAATAATAAAAAAAAATCTTGAAAAATATAACCTCATAATCAAAACACATCTGTCAATAATACCATTAAGGTTAGTACACACTACGATTCGTTACTAAAGTGTTAGTTTAATTTAATTTTTGATTTAATTGTGGGACAAAATAATATGTAAAACACGTAAAAAATGTTAAATAATTAACTCGCATTCTTGCTATACTTGCCTCGCTTATATGTTAAACGAATGCCCGTTCATAATCGACCATTTTCTTTATTTATTGCAGTCAGAATTCCTAAATTTGGCCTGCGATTATTTAGGTAATCATGAAAATTTGAAAAAGTTATTTAGTCGGTAGCAATGCATTGCAATGATCCACCCAATGATCCAATGCATTGCAATAATCCACCCAAAAGTTTTGAAAAATTACATTTTTTTGAATTATATATTTCGGATATATTTACATATATATATATAGAAAAATAATTAAACTTAAAAAAATTAAAAATTCTGAAAATTGTTGGGTAAATAATTGTTATCTGAACTTTACATTGATACAATACTATATTATTGAAAAAAAATTATATAAGTAGTTTCTTTATAATATAAAACAAATGCAATTAAAAGAAAATTTGATGGAGTATGCAGTAAATTAAAAACACACAAATCCAAGAACTGTTTTGTACGTGCTAAAAAATATAATTTTCAGTTCGGGACTGCATAGTATGCATACTTTATGGAAAATTTAAATTTAAAATGAATTACTTGATAAACATTGCATATGTATCCAAAAAGTTATAAACAAACTACTTAAATATATATTTTTAATAGTCTAGTCACTTTGTTGTTTTCAGAATTGTTAGATTAGTATTGTGCATTTATATAATCAATTTGGAAAATATTGTCAAAATATTTAATTTTTAAAATAAGTAATACCAACTAAAACTTTTTTCAAAAATTTTGGTTGGATTATTGTTGACTGGTAGACCCACTTAATTTCCGGATGACTGTATATTTGATTTAAAAATAAATGTTTAGTACACCAATTCGTAATTTTACATACACTTAATATAATATAGTTTATAATTTTAAATTTTAAACTAAGTTCTGTCAATGAACATAAATATTTTTAAAATGGTGTATCACAGGTAATATCAATTATATATCTATTATTCAAAACCATTTATGAATAATTTTATATTTTAACACAATTTTTTAATATTCAGATTTTGGGTGGATTATTGTTGACTGGTAGACCCACTTAATGTCCGGATGACTTTGTATATTTGATTTAAAAATAAATGTTTAGTACACAAATTCGTAATTTTACATACACTTAATATAATATAGTTTATAATTTTAAATTTTAAATTTTAAATTTTAAACTTAAGTTCTGTCAATGAACCTAAATATTCTTAAAATGATGTATCACAGGTAATATCAATTATATATTATTCAAAACCATTTATGAATAATTTTATATTTTAACACAATTTTTTAATATTCATATTTTATATTGGATATTATGATTGTGTTTTCAATTTCAGCATTACTTTTTTTCTTTAAATTTCCTAAAAAATAAAAAGACTTGATAAATACCTAAACATTTTGGTTACAACTTTAAATCAAATCATTTCAAACATAAAATAGCACTTACGTGAAAACAAATGTTTGTCAATAACCATGAAGGGGCTTTCAAATAAAATAACGCAAAAATAAGATAAAATACAAGTAATGATGAAGTCCCCAAAGAAGTCAAATGTCTGAAATTAAATAAACTTATTATTGTATCTTAGTGGCTAACATTCATGCAAATACATTTCCATTAAAAAATTCTTGTGAAGAAAGCTGTCTAAAATTGATCTATTACGTGAAATTACTTTTTATATTTCTTTTAACTTACCATTGAAAACCTTGTTATTTTTTGGATTGTTTTTATCGAAGTAACCCTTAATACAATCTCAGCGTAATGGACAATATACATCGAGTATGAAAGTTTTGTCAGGATTTGAAATATCGGCAAGGACAAAAAAGAATTTACAAAATCTAAAAGTTAAAATTTAGCTATAAATTACAAAGAATATACTTTTTTTCTTACTTCCATTTCCTGTAATACATAGCAAAATTACTGAACCCATAGCCAATGGGAATAATATACGATAAGTGCTATTATATAGAGAGTTTGCTATTATATTTTTTTCCTCGTTTACTAGTATAGCTGGTCCTAAACAGGACAACATTATCACAGTTAATGTTAGTATCCAGACTGTGATGCAAGAAACCTAAATTAATTTTTAATATTATTACCTAAATGTTTTGCAAAAAAAACTTACTGTATTTAACTTATATTCAATTTTATTCTTCTTGATTTTATATATAAATTTTCCACAAAGTATGCCTAATAAATAAGGGCCATATCGAGAATATGTTGGCAGATAATAGTATTTTATATATTCTTCATGATGCGGACTAAAATCATTTAAGGTTTAAAACATATCAAACAAAAATAATTGGACGCCTTTCTGCAGAAAGGAACCAACCCACAAAACCAAAAAAATCGAGATATTTAGCCCATGAACTAATTAAGTATGTATAATTTATCTGCAAAATAGGTCATAGCCAAAATGCAAGTGTAGAGAAATCTATTAATCATTGAACCAACCAACATTCAATAATAGTGTGGATTACTAATCCAGAATTAGAATCTGTAGAATATCTGCAAGTGAGTTGGATCTTTTTTGTAAAAAAGCAGGCTGGTAGACCCACTACCAAAGTCTTTAAAGATTTCCTGCTTCTGCAAAATATAAAGTCTTGATGCATTTTTTTGGTAGCTTACAAGATAAGGTGGGGTTAGAAGATGATGTGGACGAATTTCAAATAGAATCAAAATTAATTCATATTACCATTATAATACTAATATCAGTTGTATTTTGTTTGGAAATAAATAATTGTCGCTTTTCTTTAAATACATACATACATCAGATAGTAGTTTTCATTGCAGAAAAATTGCAGAAAGGAACCAACCAACAAAAGCCCATTTTTTTCGTCTCCCTTACACATAACATCACAAAATCCACCTAATGAAATTATTAAATTATATCCCTTAAACCTCCGTAAGTCCAAAATCGGCATAAAATTAACAGGTAATTTTAAAATTATTAAAATCTTTGATAGCTTTTTTCTCAGTTTCATCATGGTGTGGGTTGGTCCCATTCTGCAGAAAGCCGTCCAATTATCTTTGATATCAAAATTTAGAAATTTTGATTTTTTTAAAAGTGTCTAACTTAATATTATATTATGTATGAAGTTTGATGAGTGCCATCTTAGACACGAATTTTAATAAGGCACGAGCCAGCTTACGAGCGAGTGTTTAATTAAACGAGTGTCTAGAAAAGTTTATAAACTAGTTGAATACTAAACTTTTTTAGGACAACTACTTATTATTATCTAAATTAAATATTTTATATAGCGACATCTATAAAAAATAGAGTAACCCACGTAACAATTTCTAACTTGGGAATCTGTATTACCGGCGAACCGGTCAAGATGTAAAATTTATAAGTGTAAATTGAAATTTATCCTTTAATAAGTGATGATATAGAAGCAGTTTTTCGCAGTGAAAGTAAAAAAAATGTTTTATGGGCACTTCACGGTGGGGTCTACACCCATCATTGTTAATGCTTTTAGTTTAATCTAGTTTACATCCGGCAAAATCAAAAGGTTTGTACAAACGCATATAAACTTTTAAAATAGGTATTGGCGTTGAGAAACTATTTAATACTTTTTATTTTTGTCAGCCTGTGACTAAAATGCCATAAAGGCACAACTTGTCAATGTGTAATTAAAAGATCACTTAGTGTCATGGAAACATATTCAATAATAGGCGTTTTAAAGGTGGAAGTGGATTTTTTTTATAAAATGATGAAATTTTAACAACTCATTACAAATTAAATTTGTTAATTTGATGTGAACAATGTTTATTAAAAATTCATTTTATAAATAAATAAGCAACAATAATATTGTTTAAGCCAAACCAAATTTTAGCATTTTTTACATTTGATTGTTATAAATATTTTTTATTTGAGTTTTAGTTTTTAAATTATTGATCTTTTTTGTTTTTGCATAAACCTGTTCTGTTGATTGATATTTTTGTAGTTTTGTACTTTTTGTATTTATACACAAAAAAATTTTGTGTTTAAATACGGCCATAAATAACGGAGATAAAAGTAGGTCGATAATTTAAAAGGAAAAGCTTAAATGAAAAATATTTATTAAAAAAAAAAGTGTTAGTCTCGATGAGATCTACAACCTCTATTACATTGTCAAGTAGACACAAAAATAAGAAAATAAGAAGTTACGTAAAAAAGATAAACATTTTATTTTAATCAGTATTTGTAGTATATATATTTTGTTATATAAAAATTTGTTGTATTAATATTTAAAATATATTATTATGGCAAAAAGTTTTAAGGAATAAACTAAAAAAATATTAAATCTTCAATATTATACAAACATAAAATGTTTGCTTTTATCATGCTTTTATCCGACTACTCGTATATTCAAAATATACTTACTCATAGAGATGTCCAGCATAAGGTAATTCATAAAAATAGGAAATGCAAAATGGAATTGCAATGGCACCTATAAGCAATATGGCTGTAATATACTTTGCAAATTTAGGATATTTGCAGAGCAAAATTAAATAAAACGGAGATAAAACATAAAGCTGCATGTCTATGGCGATGTACCAGGACTGAGCTAGACACTAAAATATAAAGTAGGTATATAATATGAAATTTAGTTTATTGTTATTGACTTCTTACATTTGATCCTGGATTGTAAAAATTTTGAATGTGAGTTAAAGCACTCCACCAATATTTTTCGCAATTTTCGGTCAATTCTGAATACACTACGTTATGTAAAGGACCTTCATTAAAATATTCCACTAAATATAAGTAAAATAGTATTACTATGGCAAATACCGGAGTAAGTCTACAATTGATTAAAATAAAATGTTAAAATTAATTAATCTCTAAAAAATTCTGAAATTAAAGATATATTTAATCAAAGCTACTGTATTTCAGTCCTAAATAAGAAAGTGGGTATTCCCATTTTTTATGAAAATAGAGTTTTTTAATCGCTAAATAAGCGTTAAAAAGTGTAAATATTAAATTGTTAATATATATAAAAAAATTGATTATTAATAAAACGTTTTAATAATTTTAAGTTAATTTAACGATTTCTGGTTCCAGAAAGTGTTTATATACAAAATATGCATATTATAAAATATAATATTTTTCTTGTAGATAACCCAGTTCTTCCTAAGTAAACTTTTTTATTTCATCCTGTCCTTACTCTCTAAAAATGAAATAGTCAAAATTCTACTATTTGAATTAGTACCAGCATTTTTTACTTATAAAATAGTCGTTTTCACTTTTAAATAGTTATTTTTTTTACTTCGTAAATAGTTAAAGTTTAACTAATTTATAGTCACCATCTTTGACTATTTCTGAGAGTTAAAAGTAACTAATTTCTTTAATCGTTTGCGGCCAACAACAAATTTGAATTAAATGCATATACCCAAGCTCCATGGTTAAATTACCCATAAAAACAAATAAAGATGCAAAAAGTTTAGCTCAAAACAGCAACACAAATAATATATTCAACTTTAAAATATTATGAACAATATTTATTGACATATAAAATTGAGTTTTATAAGAGCGGCTAATACGAATGGGTTATTATACGAATGGGTTATTATTTATTTTAATTTTCCTCTTTTATTCATATTTAGGTTTTTCAAAATTTTTCTAAACATATTCGGCACTTATACTCTTCCTTTTTCCTCTTGTACTATCCCCTCTTTCTTCTTTTTTTTTTAAATATTAAAATTTTAAAGAAGGTTTTTTCAAATTGTTTTTCCTTCAAATCACTCACAATTTTTATTCTATTCATACCTTTCACATTATCTTCCATTACTTTTCCTTGAAATTTTTTATTGAGTATCTTCCCCAAAATCGCCATGCGAGTAAAAGTGGAACTGCACCGAATAATTACAATAATCTAGGCCCCTATGCGGTATAAAGTTCAGACAGGGAGGTTAATTACTTAAGTTTTAACCTTCCTGTCACCTCAAAATTTTAACACTTCATCCATTTTTTTACTTTTATACTTTTTTCACACCTTTTCTGGCCACACATCCTTGTCAGGATTACCTCAAAATTAATTAAATTCTCCAAATTATTTAAATTATTTAAATTCCCTTTTTACCTTTATACCCTTTTATAGTTAGGCTGATTAAAAATTTACAATGTATTATTTTTAAATAAATTAATTTGGAATTTGGAATTTTTGGAATTACAACAGCTTGACAAGTGACAGACCTGAGTTCAATCCCCGGCTGGGTCAAAACTTTTTTTAAATTTAAATCTACTAATTTGACTATTTCATTCAGTAGAATTTGACTAATTATTAGTGACTGCTTTTTCGCTATGAAAATTAGTCAAATGTGACTTATAATTAGTTGTTTTTGACTAGTTCATTTTAAGAGAGTAAATACCGTATTTTTAACCATAAGTAATCCACAGTTTCAGATTTGGTTATTTAAAAAATAAATACCTTATATATCTATGTATAAATGACATCAATGTTTCTTTAATTTGAAACTTTTTACCATTTTTATCATAATTTTTCATAAATGAAAGAGCTACTAGTAGTCCACCAGCGAATAAAAAATAGTCAACCAACACCACTTCAAACATGTAAATATTAAATTTTGAGCTAACAATCTAAAAAATCAATCAGTTACACAAGTTTACAAATTCCGGCCAACTTTTGGACCCGAGCAGATTACAACGATTTTTGACGTTATTTGATGCGCTGAATTCGAATCTTAAATCCGTTTGGCAACATTGGTTCTAGTTTTTCAGTTCTCGCAGGCTTTTCAGTACTTAAGTTGTTTCCGAATTTGTCGTACGCAAAAATCAAAGAAGGAATATTTGTCGGACCTGATATTCGAAAATTTATGACCGACTATATAAAATGTTCAATGCCCGATGAAGCGGCTGCATACAGTACTGTTTCAAAACAATATAAAAGACTTAGTTCCACCACTCTTCATTTCGAATTTATTACTTTTAATTGCCATTAAATAAATATAATTGCCAAAGATCGTACAAATTTAATTTATTTACTATCTCGAAACTAGAACCAATCTTAAAAAATGGAGATTTGAATTCAGCGCCCCAAGTTACCTTAAAAACAACTTTTGGTTGCTCAGGTCCAAAACCGTGTATACTTGTGTTATTTATAAATACTAAACAGGGTGTCATATAATACATTCTCATACCTTGGGGGATGATACTTCACGCCAAAGTAAGCAAGTTTTTTCTCTTTTGCAATAGTGCTACTCTTGTTAAATAAAAAAATCATGAAAATAGGCATTTATTGGCCAGCAACAGTTGTTAACGATTAAAGTATAGTCGGCCCGTTAAAATCCAGAGAACCACATTTAAACAACTGGCCGACTCTATTTAGCCTGTCGACCCCACGCTTACACGTTTAAACAAATGCCTAAGAAGTACGCTAATTTTTATATTTTTTTAAATTAAAAACAGTAGCACTAATTCAAAAGTGATAGAAGAAAAACTTGCTTACTTTGGTATATACTTACATTTCCTATATCAACAATACTATTTAGTGGTGCATACTGTAAAGTAAGTAAAGTGGTATGATGGAACACAACGTAAATCATACATATAGCTTTTAAACCATTTATGCATAGTAATTGGTTTGCACTTTTGGTTTGAAAAATCTGTTTGGTGTTCCTTACTGCCGAAAAAGCGAGGAGTAGATCGTGTTTACAAGCTGAAAGAAACTTGCTATTTATAAATCAAAACTTTAAAACATGCTTGCTATTTACCACCATTGTTTTTCAATAGGTACAACTCATATGCACTGGATGCGATTGATAATAAAATCAAAAAGATAATTAATGCTCTAAAAATAATATTTTCCTATTTGTTAAGCTTTAATGACGTATTTTTTGCTTACATTGTTATCCAAGCCCCAGTACCTAAACTGTGTTCTTTTTCATAAGTATAACATGCAGAGTCAATCACTGTTTCATTAAAAATATTAGCTACATCGTCATTAGAGCACATACTCGGAACACATCGAGCTACTTTCATCATTGCACTCTTAAAGTATGAAACAGGTATTTAATTAATGCAGAAACTATTGTTAACATTTAGTCAAACTCTAAAAATGAAATAGAAATTCTACTATTTGAATTAGTACCAGCATTTTTTACTAATAAAATAGTCGTTTTCACTTTTAAATAGTTATTTTTTACTATGCAAATAGTTAAAGTTTGACTAGATTAGTTACCATCTTTGACTATTTCTGAGAGTTAAAACTAATTTCTTTAATCGTTTACGGCCAACAACAAAGTATTATTTGAATTAAATGCATATACCTCTCCATGGTTAAATGCCCCATAAAACAAATAAAGATGCAAAAAGTTTAGCTCAAAACAGCAACACAAATAATATATTAAACTTTAAAATATTATAAACAATATTTATTGACAAATAAAATTGATTTTTATAAGAGCGGCTGACAGCCGAATGCGTTATGAGGTTAGCTTGACAAACTTGTCAACTGACAGACCAGAGTTAAATCCCAGGCTGGGTCAAAACTTTTTTTAAATTTAAATTTACTAATTTGACTATTTCATTCAGTGGAATTTGACTAATTATTAGTGACTGCTTTTTGGCTATGACAATTAGTCAAATATGACTTATAATTAGTTATTTTTGACTAATTCATTTTAAGAGAGTACCACCTATAGTATACCATTTTACCCAAACTTTTTACCATAACGTTAGAGGGCGTACTTAAGAAAATATCTTGGAATCAAAGTGGCATAAAAATTGATTGAACATTTAAGCCACTTTCGCTTAACCAATGACATTGTAACATGTAGAAGTGACGCACAACGCCACGGAATAATGTTGCAAGAGGTGAAAAAAGACTCTATAGTTCGGTGGAACCAGAAATAAGGCAGCTTTTGGTAAGCTTAGCTATATAATCAGAAACAAAAATACCCATTCATATAAAAAATAAAGTATATGATACGTATACACGTATCATGATACGTGTAATTCAACTAGATTTTTTTAGCTCTTGCAATATTACGCAGTTCCGAAACCATGGGTTGAATTATTCAACCCATGGTTTCAAAACTGCGACACAGTAAACAGTATGAGCATACTGTGTCGCAATGCTAGGCGTCATCTTCAGTGATCGTATTCTCAACGAAAAAATTAGGAGAAGAACAAGAATCACCAATGTGGTGCAACAAGACTAAAATGTACAGGCAGAAGAGATAGCGGGGGTGTTTTTAAATAGACCAAAAAGATTAGACAATAAAGAAAAAGTGTCAGAAAACCCCAAACAATATGTGAATACAGAAAAATCATATGTTACAAAACGTCGTTCTTTGTAGTGATGCCGCGAGACGAGACGAGGCGAGAAAAGTCCTTCTCTCGTCTCGTCTCGAGTAGCGAGAGAAAATGGGTCTCTCGTCTCGTTGAGAATACTGTTTTCTGACTCGAGTGCCTTTCTTTCGTTTCGTCTCGTTTTTCTCGTGGTAAAAGTATACTTTAGCTATAGCTATGTATGAATACAGAAATTATTTTGAATGAAATACGAATTCGTTTATATTTTTTTCTATAGAAATTTAAACTGCAAATAAAAAAATGTGTGCCAAGACCACACTGATAAAGTGAGACTTTTTACGCCGAAAATTTCTCGCATTTGAATCAAATGGTTGGATCTATGTGGAGTAGTTACATCTAGTATATAGGCGCAGTAGTTTTCAAATGGAAGGATCAAATCATTTGATGCATTTATCTGAAAACTACTGCGCCTATATACATAGATCCAACCATCTGCGCATAGATGCCCGTCATTTTGAATCAAATACTTAATCAGTCCATGCTGAGAAGTGAAATTAATGGAAATTAACTGGAAAAAAATAAAGAAAAATTGCGTTACTGGACGAAACCCCCCTTCCCCACAGTAACAAACCGTAACGTTCGTGCTGACCCCCCTCTAGCGTTACGTAATATTTGAATGACCCCTTAGGGGACATCCCTTAGTTACGTGAAGTGAGGAGTTAAATTTTTCTTTCTTAATTATTATGCGCTTTGAAAGTTTAAACATACATTTCTAAAACAAATAAATATCGTCATTTATGTGCAAAATTATAATTTTTATGTAAAAAAAATTGTTTACTTATTGCCGGAAAAATCGAGAGAACGAGAGAGATCGAGAGAAACGAGAAATTCTCGAGCAAGAGAGGCCATTCTCTCGTCTCGTCTCGAGCCTTTTTTCGAGAGAAAATCGCCCTCTCGTCTCCTCGAGACGAGACGAGAGGAGGCGAGACGAGAGGCAAGACTTTCTCGTATCGGCGGCATCACTAGTTCTTTGAATTAAATCATTGGGCAAAATTCTCATATCAAACGGTATTTCTTATTTAAATAAACAATACACCATATTTTATAATGACAAGGCACTAAATTGAGCTTAAATAATTTGTTTTATTATTGCTGAAGCACGTTGGTTTAAGTGGGCGCCACACACTTGGAAATTCCAGCGATATTAAAACTGATAATATTTATTATATCATTCCTTACAGTATTTCTTATATTGATGCAGTTTAAATCAGGTATTTCTATATTAAAATTCTATTCAATATAGTTAAACAAAATTTATTACATACAGGGTGTCCGGGAAAAGGAGGTCAATCCGTTAACCATATATTCCTTGAGTTAAAACAATAAGACTTTCATAATACCATTTTTCAATTTAGAGCTTTATGTTCGATATACAGGGCGACAAAGTTTGAAATTAAAAACTGATTTTTTTTAATAATTCGAGTAATTGATAAGATACTAAATTTAAATTCGGTACACTACTTTAACATAAATAGTTACATTTTTTGAGACCAACAAAACAAAAAACAATTGTCAAATAATCAAAATAGGGGGGTCCAGTACTCACTGACTCCCCCTATTTTTTAGTACGTGCGCCAATGACTTCCAAACAGAATTTTTTCAGGTAATCATTTATTGTTGAAAATGTTTTGTCTCTTATAAAATTTTGATAAAATGATTTGTTTTAGAGATAATTTGTAAAGTATGGGTCAGTCCATATCAAATTTTCAAAATTTAATTTTTTTTTGAAAAAATGTAGGTCATGTGATATATCATAAAAAAGTTCTCTAATAGGCCTTTAAAATAAGCCATCACTCACCTTTCTACTTTTAATAGTTTACGAGATATCGCTATTTTTGTAAGTACTTGCAAGACCCAAATTTATCGAAATTTTTTGATTTTCAAAAATCAATAAAACAAAAACCACCTATCGAAAAAAATTCATATATGGGATTTTTGAGTTTTTTAGTGAGGTAAACAAATTTACCAAAAATGATCAAAATCGGAGATGGTGGGGGAAGAACCTTTGGTTGATTTGATATGGACTGACCCATACTTTACAAATTATCTCTAAAACAAATCATTTTATCAAAATTTTATAAGAGACAAAATTTGTTTAACAATAAATGATTACCTGAAAAAATACCGTTTGGAAGTCATTGGCGCACGTACTAAAAAATAGGGGGAGTCAGTGAGTACTGGACCCCCCTATTTTGATTATTTGACAATTGTTTTTTGTTTTGTTGGTCTCAAAAAATGTAACTATTTATGTTGAAGTAGTGTACCGAATTTAAACTTAGTATCTTATCAATTACTCGAATTATTAAAAAAAATCAGTTTTTAATTTCAAACTTTGTCGCCCTGTATATCGAACATGAAGCCCTAAATTGAAAAATGGTATTATGAAAGTCTTATTGTTTTAACTCAAGGAATATATGGTTAACGGATTGACCTCCTTTTCCCGGACACCCTGTATATGTGTGGTAGTATCGAAGATTTTATGAAACCAAAACCTAATACTCATATTATAAATTAGTAGTAACTGAATCAAAAGCGTCCGTGCTGCGTTGCTTAGTAAAGGGATTACCAATAGTAAGTAATTTAGTGGCACTTAAACGCTTTTGAATTCAACTATACATATCGTTGGTGTCACATCTTTAAAATTAACATTTTATATCATGAAAATGTATAGCAAAATCTTCATATTTTTATGAAACAATGACATAATGCAACATCTAAAATAACTCCAAATAACAACAAAGCGATTTTGTAAAGTAAATTATTTGCAATGAAATTAAATTAGTTGTTTCCACTAGTGAACTATAGAAAAAGATAATGAGTAAAATTATAAAAATAAAAGTTATAAAAAATAATTTATATTATGAAATTGTTGTTTATTAAAATGCTAATGAGTAGTCAGTTGGTTATTGTGTTATATTTATTTAGAAACTGATCAACACCTAATTAAATCATAACGTCCGAATGCGCTGGATTAATCATGAGGTTGACAAGAATAAAATCTAAAAGAGCTGCAAATTTTATTTTTTTGTACGAAGTTACAGCAAGGAAATGGCCAAAATTTAGTATAGATTATTTAAATAATGCGTGTTTGCAATACTCATATGAGGCGATTATAATGCCCTATAATTAAATGATTATTTTAAAGATGTTGACAAAAGTTAAGTCAACAATAAGTAAAGGGTCACACCATGCAGCCTTTTATCAGAAGCAAAATAAGGCATAAAAGTTATTTTTCTCACGGGCAAAATGGTAAGACAATATTTTCCTCGAAATTGTTCATTATTAAATTCTCCATTTATGTTCATGCATTCATCAAAATCGCCCAAGTCATAGGGGTTTTGGACAATAATACTGCTGGGAATTTTTGTGCTAGAATCAACAACTAAAAATGTAATATTAGAGAAGTTATTATGGATCATGCCTATAATATGGAACCCTTTTTTTACTATTACTATTTATGTATTATTTGTTATACCTCAAAACGATGGAGCAACGTTATTTTAAAAAAAAAAACTTATATTGGAAAAATAAAATGGGGATCCATTTTATAAAATTATACAGGGTGTTATGTAATTAATGTTATATATTAAAATGGGTTGTTCCTTAGGGTCCATAAAGAAGCACCTGAAACTTTTTTTTTCTAAATTACAAAGACTAAAAATAATTTATAATAACCTTTATCCTACCAAAAAGTATGCCACTGATCGACTAGGAACTTTAGGCTAATCTGGTTGCCTAATTTAATTTATTATGTTTGGTATGGTTGGTAACAACAGCTTTTCCAAATTCTGTCAAAAAAGGTTGACAAACATTGTTTAAATTTAGCTTAATTACAAAAATGACAAAATTAACAATGCAAATTGTCAATTTGGCGTTTTTATTAATTGTTGGTTATGCCATTTTTGTACTGAAGGTAAATTCAAAAAAAATCTGCCAACTTTTATGACAGAATCTGGTGCATTTCTTTGAAATTTTAGGTTATGTGCTCAAATTGTAAATATCTTAACTAAGGGAAGTTCTTTTGGATTTATTTACACTAATTAAATGTTTAAAGTTTAACCTGTGAACTGGTCCCAATTTCATCTGAGTAAACAGAAAGAAAAAACCGATAAAAAAATTAATTTTGTGGTTATGGATTTTTTTAAAATAGGCAGGTACTAAATTTTCTAATTATTGCTTAAGCTAATAGCTGGATGAGTAAATAAATACAGAAGGGTATTAGACCTTTAAGGGCATAAAACTTTTTTGTATTTATTGAGTTTTTATTTATTTTTTGCAAGAAAAACTTTTAGTAACAATTTTTTACATCTGGCAACGCGCAGCTACTTTCTTGGTTGGTATCAATGTACTCAAAGAACACAAGTGTGCAGAGATAAACCAAGTGTGTTACCAGTTGCGTATCACAAAAAATATAAAAAACTTCTAATGCATATTTTTTCTTTATCTCTGGAAAAATATTTTTTAAAATATTTTTCCTTTACTTCTTATGTCAAAAGGAATTCAGTATTTTAATATATAACATTAATTACATAACACCCTTTATATAGTTTTAAGTTTTACTTACATTTTTCTATATTTTCTATTTCGTTGCTATAATTCATGTAAAACTGTTTACAACCTACGCTAACATTAGCTAGGTTATAAGAAGCAATTATATTTTTGACTGATGAACCAAAATGTGATATTATACCATTAAAATATGTTCCTTCATTTGTAGATAAATTAAGTAAACTAAAAAAAATAAAACATAAACAAATCATTTTGACTTAAAGGTAAATGGTAAACTAAAGTTTTTTAAAGGTTGATAATATAAAATTGATTTATATAATCTTTGCATTACTTAACATATCATTTAAATTCATGTGTCTACGTTGATAGATTAAAATTTTTTTAATAAAAATAAAGACATTTTATTTAAATTATTTTTAGACTGTAAACAAATAATTTAGATAATAAACTTTTTATTTTCTGAACCGCTCGTAGTATGATTAAATAAGAATTTGTTCATAGTCATAGTTCATACCTAGCTATGACTAGTTTAACTAAAAGATATTAGATTTAAATATGTAATAGTTAATAAAAGTTGTTTTAATAAAATTCAATTTATTTATGAAAATTTATATAAAATAGTACATTATCTAACGGGCGGAAAAAACGATTATTAAAGCCGAGCTCGCTGCCAGACGCCAGTCTAGGCAGCAGATCTGAACGAGATTAATAAATAATACACGTTCTTTAAACTCCAAAGTTCACGAGATTTTCAATGACCCCCCTTCCTCCGTTAAAATGAGATTTGTTCAGATTTTGCTAGACCCCCCATTTTTATCTTACGTAATTAATGGATGTCCCCTGATTTCAATGCATTTTTATTATTGGACGGCGAAGTGTATAACACAGTACGACAAAATTTGATTTTTGGTCCCTCCCATGAAAAATTTCTACAGATAAGATAAGATTCTAAAAATAGAGTTAAAAAAATGATACCCGTGTCTCGGCGTTTTTTCACATCACGTCATAATTTTTTTTAAGGGCTATCCAATAAAATGTTATTCACACTATTCGCGACATAATTTAATAGACATGATAACAGCTGGACTGCATAGTTAAAAATATATATATTTACTAAATGGATAGGCAACCATTATAGATGCATTTTAAAATTATTTTAATTTTATACAGAGTTTTGCACATTTAAGAAATATATCAAACGGTTTATTTTTAAACCAAGTAACAAAATGTTTCAATTTTAAGCCAATCAAAATGCTTTAAAGTCAGGTGATTAAAATTTTTATTTATTCAATTTTTTGTAAAAATTGAGCTTTGTTGAATTAACATTTTTAATACTAAAAATTAAAAGATATTTAAATGAATTGATTTAAGTCTTAAAGCAAGTGTACCTAAATCATATTTAATTTAAGTAAAAAGTTTTGGATTGATGCCAATTTATCAAGAACTACAGCGGAATTGGTTGCATCACGGCTCCGACAATGGAATTTAGTTGCCGATGACTTTAAAATAACGGCAAACCGAAAACGAAATATTTGCATGTCGTTTGACAAATATTTTGCTTCAAATGAGGATTCTTATTGTGAAGACGTCGATGCATTATTCGAAGAAATTGGTCATCCTCATATTTCAGAAGAATGGCGATTCTTCATTGATTCCTCTGTGAATAGCTTAAAAGTAGTTTTACTTCATATTGGACACAAGTATTCATCTGTTCCAATCGCCTATGCCACAAATATGCCTGAAAATTATGACAATATGAAGCTAATTCTAGAGCTGATACACTACAATCAGCACGAATGGAAAATTTGTTGCAATCTGAAAGTTGTGGGATTGCTGACTGGTTTAAAAGAAGGATATTGTAAACACCAATGTTTCTTGTGCACTTGGGAAGGCCGTAAGACCGAGCTCCATTATACTGATTTTACATGGGAGCCACGCATTAACTGTCAATTAGGTCAGTTAAGCATTGAAAACTTACCGTTGGTGAATGCAAGGAAAGTAATCTTTCCACCACTTCACATTAAACTTGGCCTGATTCGCAATTTTGTTCGAGCACTGGATTCGTCCGGTGAAGCTTTTAAATTTTTACATATAATTTTTCCAAAATTGTCTACAGAAAAAATTAAAGCAGGTACATTTCAATATAATTTTAGATTTATTTTTTAGTAACAACATTGTATGTTTCAGGTATATTTACTGGTCCAGATATATCAAAATTAATAAAAAATATTGAATTTTATAATTTAATGAGCATCATAGAAAAAAAGGCGTGGAATGGTTTCGTTGCAGTGGTCGATAATTTTTTGGGAAACAAAAAAGCAGACAACTACAAAGAAATTGTTGCAGAAAAGATTTCTGCTTTTCAGGACATGAAAGTACATATGTCACTGAAAATACATTTTCTCCATGCTCATTTGGACTATTTTCCACCAAATTTGGGTGATTTTAGTGACGAACATGGCGAACGTTTTCACCAAGACATTTTAACAATTGACGCTTCAAGGGAAAATACGTCAAGCATTTGCTGGGTGAATATTTCTGGTCAATTGTTCGAGATTCTGAAGCAATATATAATCGTCAAACTAAACGACCAAGATTTTATTCCAACATGTATTGAATATAAGATAAATACAAATGTGTTTCATTAAAAAAAACATAATAAAAAAAATTATTTAAAAAAAATCAAAATATAAACTTTTTTTATATTTGTTTTTTGTATTGTGTAAAAACATACAATATTTACAAAAAAAATATATTTTTAACCTAGTTAAAAATGTACAATCTGTATAAGCATAAATAATAGGAATGACGGCTTAAAATTTTTTTTATGACGTGATCTCGTGAAACTGTGAGACACGGGTACGTTTTTTACCTCTATTTTCAAAATCTGCTACAATTTTTCATGGGAGGGAAATCGTGTTGTACTGTGTAATAATTTGACTTTTAAACTAAGTACAAAAATGGTTTCTATATAGACTTATGATAATATAAAAATTGTTATATGCTTGAAAAAAAACACCTGTTTTAAAATAAATTAATTTATCACTATAAATATTATTAATTTCTAAATATGCCGATTAATCACATCCAAAATTTCCAATAGATAAGAGATTAATTTTTATCTGAAATAATATATATAAAAGAAATAATAAATGACCACAGTTTCTAACTAAACTCAAAATGAATATTTTAAATTTTGTAATTGGGTTTATTTCCCTTATAATACACCCTACAGTTGGTGATTTAAATATACCCAATTTAAGTACTTTTAATGTAAAACAAAATATAGAAAATTTCTTTGGTGTTAGTGATCAGTGCATCTGGGCCATAAATGGCAGTTCTTTAATTACAAAATTAAAAAGTTCGTGTTATTTTAATTTATGTATTTATTAGTTATATAATAATTCGTATTTATGTAGTGGTTGATGCTAGTAAATTTATACCTTCTGGGGTGCTTCAGGCAAATTTATATGACATTGGAAATTACGATGAATGCTTTGGAATACTTGATGAAGTCGACAATCAAAAAGTATATGGAAAATATTGTCTGGGCACATACAAAAGCATACAATTCGGTCGTTGTTTACCTAATTTTTGCACCAAAGAAGATTTTTCCAAATTATTTTCTAAACTAGCTTTTACTGAGGAATATTGCTACAGTAAAGGAGAACCCAAGCATTTTGATGATGTTGACCTTTTTGCAATGTAAGAAACTATGCGTATTGATAATTATGACAATAATTATTTTTTAAATATTTTTTGTAGCTATATTTTAGCTTTTTTTACTGCTCTAGTAATACTTTGCACTGGATATGATTTAATTTTATATTATTTGGAAGAAAGTAAGTAGAAACATTTTTTATTTTGATTATTAATTGAAATTTAAACATTAACTTTATTTTTAAGAACCATACCACTATACCTTTGTGTCATTTTCTCTGTTCTCAAATGGACAAAAAATATTAAAAACCAGCTCAAAATCAGGACAACTATCGTGCATTAACGGTGTTAAAGCAATTAGTATGTTATGGGTAATTTTTGGTCATGCACATAGCACCATTATGATGAGTCTTATAAATCCAATTGATATCTACAATTTTTTACTAAAAACAAAAAATATGTACATCTCAGCAGCAACTGTATCTGTGGATACATTTTTGGCTACTGGAGGGCTTCTAACAGTTTATACTTTTATGAAAAGTAAGGACATGGGGGTTAAAATTAATGTACCTCAGATGTATTTACATAGATTTTTAAGGTAATTATGATTTTTTTCAATTTTGTGTTAATGTATAGTATGGACTAAGATGTAGGATGATCTAAATCATAGTTTTATTTACTTTAAGATTAGGTATTTTTTGGTAACTACGTGGTCGATCAAAAACCTATAAATACAAATGGTAAAACTTAAGAATTTACTTTTTTCCACAGCACGTGTTAGAGTTGCCTTTTATTTTTAAAAATAGATAAAACGGTAGTATCACCGCAACTTTACCACCATAACTACTATCGTGGGGTTCGACATGAACCTGACATTCAATTTTTTGTTTCTTTACTGCACACGTTTTGGCTGACGCTCACCGCTTTCTATATTCGCCCATCTTAAAAGTTAACTCAATTAAACTTTTTTATCCAGCCGTTTTTTTACGATAGTAGTTCTGTAAGTTAAAATGATCGATAGTAGCTATGGGTTAATACTATTCTTGCTCAATAGCAAGACTAAATAAATATTTTTGTAAGTAGTTAGTCTAGTATTAATTTGGTTACCATTTTTTGGCCACTAACTTCTTAATGAATGTATTTGCTATAGAAGAATACTGCCAACCTCCCAAACGCTTCATTTTTACCAAGTCTGCGCCAGAATTTGTAACCATTGTAGCTTTAGAACGGCGAAAACAATGTCCAGTATACGTTTTTAAATTTGTTATGGGGCACGTTATGAGGGTGTTAATATTTTTGTATAAGACGCTGTCCCCAGATTTCTTATAAGTATTACAGAACGACCGATTTTACTTGGTTTCAGTGTCGAGAAGAGAAACAACAATTACAGACAATCATTGTCAAGCGTCAATGTAACAATTACTTTGAAATTATTTTTACACATTTATTTTAGAGGTTAATTTGAGTTTTCCCTTGTGGAAATTTTTCTCTGAAAAAGTTTTAATAAGTCTTAGTAAGTCAGACTAATAGCAATATTTGGGAGTCTTCTAGAAGAGTTAATAAGACTTTATAAGACTTTTAGCAGAGATATGGTAGGAACCTAACTATATCCGGAATTATTCATAGAGGTTGTAGTTGATTATTATAAAATAAAACACATAAAAAAGTATTTTTTAACATTTTGCCGGGGTGGTAATAAGCCAAGTTTAATGCATAATTACCTATATAATAACATATGTAAGGTGTAATAATTATAACAATTATATTTTTTACATACGATGCGCTTGACTTGCTTTTATTGTTGCCACTGTACGATTTATTTTATTAATTTCTTTTTATAAATATAAATATTCATCACACCATTGTTCCAAACAATTTTTAGACACAATTTTTAGACACAATATTTTCTCAGCTGACCAATTAGAGCACAGCTGATCTGTCATGTGATGGCATCTTCCCGCGTTTTCGAGATAGCTCTCCTATAACTACTTACCAAGTGTGGGTAATTTACTCGGAAATTGGGTATTTTCGCCATGTTTGCGGGTAGAATTTTGAAGCGGGTAAAATCGGATATTTTGCAAATTTTGATCAAAAACTAACTGAAGAAATTTTCAGTAAATAATATTGTATGTTTATTAAAAATGCATAATTATTTTATTCTATCTATAGCCTGTTACATTTTTATTTACTTACATAAAAATTTAAAAAAAATTCTTTTAAACAGGGCGAATGCGCTAGAAATTTAAAATAAAACTAGGTTTTTTTAGTATTATGGAATTTTTGGGCGGGAACTTTTATGACATTCATCCGGCAACACTGTATAAAACACATGAAAGCAGCTCGAAGATCAACCATATTTGTTTTATGAGTTCGACTGTCGACCATATCATGCCTATGCGTTGCGAAGAGTTGTTATAGTTATTATACCTTATGTACCTACTTAATCAACAAGGGATCTGTATGTACACAAACCAAACGTATCTCCCAACTGTTTTATTCTGTTCAATTAAAATAAAGTTGGTTTACCTTACATTTCTTACATTGCTTCCGTGTTTTTATAAGCCTTATAACAACACAAAAATAGTGTTTATAAATACTTTTCATTGTGCTTTCTTTTGCAATAACCAAATACAACATCTTTGAATAATTCAGGATATTTATTTTAATCGCTATAGGTACCTACCATTTCTCTGCTAAAAGTCTTATTAAGTCTTAATAAGTTTTATTTACTCTTCCAGAAAACTCCCAAATCTTGCTATTAGTCTGACTTACTAAGACTTTTTCAGACTTTTTCCGACTTAAAAAGACTTCTTCAGACTTTTTAAGAGAAAGTAAGACTTTCTAAACTCTTATTAAAACTTTCTACTGATACTACTAAACGGCCCCTTTTTATCCTTACCTTGAAATATTATTATTTTGATGGGAATAACTTTCTGCATCCAACTGCCACACCAAACAAGAAATAAAATTGATTTTTAAACTTTTCTAAAACCATTATTTACAAATAATTTTAATTTTAGACTAACACCTGCTTATGCAGTAATTATAGTCGTGCAATCCTCATTGATTCGTTATTTGGGCAGTGGACCTCTATGGGGTTTGAGTGAAACTAGTGTTAAACCCTGTAGAAAGTACTGGTGGTCGGCTCTTTTGTATATACAAAATTATGTGAATCCCATAAACATGGTAAATATTTACATCTATACTTTTTATATTATTAGATCTGTTTTATAAGCTAAAATTGAAATTTTTAAATCTTAATTATTATAGATAAAAAAATACAGGGTACGGCGAGGAGTAGTCATTTTTTGAAATGAAAAGTACACGATCAATTGCATGCCATTAAATAATATTATTTTCTAAAAATTATGCCATTTTCTTGTATAGACGGTGGTAGGTTAGGAATTAAGAGACGTCCAATTATTAACAATTAACACAACTTTATTTAATTATAACGTATTAAACAACAATTCTAGTACGTATCACAACATAACTGTACGAAATCTAACAAAGGAATGAATGTGTATCAGATGATTGTGCAATCATCTGACCGGCAAAAACTAAGCATCGTTCGACAGAGTTACCCAACATATGAATGCTGACTACACTTGGTTGCAAGTTTGTTTCCACATCGACTTATTCCCCGATTTGAAGATATTTTGTGGCTTCCTCGCTCGCCAGACTTTTCAACCACAGACCTAAAACACTGGAAGTGTTGAAGGCTGCGATAAGAACAAGGAAATCGATCGCCCACTTCTGGAAAGAGTGAAGGACAACTTTCGTCTAAGCATTTAAAGATCAGTAAAAATGGTCACAATCTCAATAACATACTATTTCGAACATAACATTATGTAATGGCATGCTATAAGCTATGTTTTCAATATAAATAAAAAACGTTTACGACAAGGGGGACAGAAAGTGTATTGAAGAAAAGTTTTTAAAAGAGATCTTATGTTTCCTTATTTTTAGTGTTGTGAACATACATGGTATTTATCGGTGGATATGCAATTATTCTTATTATCACCTCTAATATTATTCCCTTTAATAAAATGGCCAAAAGCTGGACTTACTGTACTTATTGGATGTATTTTTTTTGGGTTTGCAAGTCCTTTTATGGCTACCTACCTTCAGGACTTGGCAGGATCATCCTACACTGTGTGAGTAAAAAAACTTTGATTTATTTAATAATTAATTTATGGAATATTCTTCTTTATTTTTATCTTAACACAGAGCTATGTGCCTTTAGCTTAAAAGCTATTTAGCCAGCTGATTATGTATTTATGCAATATTTATTATAAATTTAAATGTTTAAGGTCTATATCTGATTATATGTCTAAATATTATTTTCAAACATATGCAAGACTTGGCCCTTATGTTATTGGTATGTTATTTGGTTGGGTTATATATAAACTTAAAGAAGATAAAGGCTTGATACAAATATCACAAAAATACAACAAAATGGTAAATTACTTAAAAAATTACAATTTTAATTTTTAATAAACGAGGTGTACACATGTTTAGAAAGTAACGAACATTTTCGTTTTTCTCGGGTCGTATTGATAGGATTTGCGCCATTTTGTTGTTACTGTAATGGCAAACATGTGCATTGAAAAGGTCACTTGCGTTTCTTGCGTATATTTAAAAAAAATGAAATTCTCGTTATTTTCTAAACACACCCCGTAATAATTATTTAATAAATAACAATTTTTATTCACTAGATTATTTTTACTCTTTGGGTAATAATTTTTACTGGGCTTTTGGCCTGCACATATGGCGGATCTGATATAATAACAGCAAAGGAAACAGGAATATGGGCAAGAACATTTTACAATGGGTTTAATAGGAATGCATGGGCAATATCAGTTTGCCTTATGGTTACAATGTGTGTTGCTGGTTATGGAGGTAATTTTCCAAATTTAATACATAGTCAAGAAGATACATCCATATAAAAAGTACAAAATAACAATCAAATTAACAATTTTTCTGTAAACCGTTTTGGTCAGCAGAAAATCTGAAAATAATATTAATAATAGAAAACTAATATTGTCAGTAATATTAGTTTCACATAATACAAGTGTCGCCTAACCACCTTAGGCAATGTTTAAATGCTAAGAAAATAGTCTGTAAATTTACAGTTGATAAAAATATTTTGTATTTTAGGACCCGTTAATGGCTTCTTGTCCTTGCCAGTCTTTCAGATTCTATCAAAGTTATCATACTCGATGTACTTGGTACACTATTTAGTAATAAATGTGAGAAACATGAGTACAAAAGTTGGGCTGTACTTTTCTGAAACTAATGTTATTTATGAATTCTGTGGGGATTTTATGATCACTGTATTTATAGGATTTTTCCTCTGTGCTATATTCGAATCTCCAATTATAATTCTTGAAAAGTTTTTGTTTGGTAAGTTTTTATAATCGTTTAATAATATTAATTACATACATATTTATTATTAATAGGTCGTAACAAAAAAACCAAAGATAATTTCGAGGTTAGGGATGAAAAATGAAAAGAAGAATCTTTTATAGATCTTAAATATTTTATTGAAATAATAGTATTAAGGCAATTTTAAGACTGTTCAATGTACATATATTTATTTTTTTAATAAACTATTGTTATGTAGTCAGTTCATTTTCTTTATCTACTCCTATTGTATAATATTTTTTTTTCTATAAATAATGATAAAATTATAAATTCCCTGCCTAACAACAGGAATAATGAACTCATAATTTGCGTTGTTAGGTAACGATTTCAATATTTACTGGGATTAGAACCAATCAGGTTTTAAATTGGGAGAAGGCGACTATAATAATAATAATAATAATCATAATAATAATAATAATAATATTTATTGATCACAGAGTTTTACAGAATTTAATTCCACAAAATATATTGAACTAGTCGAAAAAAAAATTACAAAATAAACATATTATGATTAAAACTATGTACCTACTACTAAATTTATTAAACATTAAATAAATTAATTAAAAATTATCACTAAGAAACCCTTCCACAGAATAATATACTTTTTCTAAAAACAAAGTCATTTTAACATTTTTGAACATTTACAAGACACAATAGACATAACTTTATTATAACATTTAATTCCCATATAAATAAAAGACGTTTGACACACAGAGAGCCTAGAAAATGGCAAAACTAACTGATTTTGGCTTCTTGTTGAGTAACTATGTATGTTACCATGTATTAAAATATCTTTTTTATTTTCAAAAATGAATAAAACTAAACTTAATTTGTACAAACAGGGAAGAGTTAAAATTTGGTATTTCCTAAACAGAGGTTTACAAGAATATGTTGGACTTTTCTTGTCCATGCACCTAAGGATCTTTTGCGTTATAAAAATTTTATTGAAATAACTTGAGCTACCCCAAAATATAATTCCAGGCCCGGCTCCAGACATTGCGGTACCCCGTGCAAAAATTTTTTGAGGCCCCTCATAGTTACCTACTTTTTAGTGCCCATTAGTAAGGTATAATTTCTAAAAAAAACTATAGTACCTACCTATAACTATAGGTATACCTAAATAATATCGTCCCCTTGATGCTACAATTAGATACACTGTTCAAAATTTCATAAACATTTTAACACCAAATTAACACCATACATAGACCATGTCGATACAAACCAAAATGGTGTTAAATATGGTTCGTTGGTCCAGTGTAATTTCAAATACTAAAATAGTGTAAATTGAACTCCTTTTCAGTGTTAAATATTATGTGTTCTTGTTCAAATTAAATCATACTAGGTGTAAAGTGTACTTCTCAGTAGTTTGAAAGGATAAAATATTTTTAGATAAACACCGTTTTAATGTTTGCTGTATATAACATTTTCAAACATAATTCATGGTGTTTATATTAACACAACTTGGTGTTGGATTTAGACACCATTTTTAGATTACCCTTTACACCACAAATATTTTAAACAGTGTAATATCGTCCCCTTGATTCTACAATTAGATATCTGGAAAAACACATTTATAAATAAAAGTATTCTAAAATTGGTACCTATGTAAGTATTTAGTAGAACTGGATTCGTAAATTTTCTAGTTATTCAGTTGTAGCATTATTTATGAGAATTATTTATTTGTAATTATTATTTTTTATTAAAAGAATGCATGCTGTGATATTATATTAATTTTGTATAAAACGTGCATAAATACTGTAACGTTTTTACTGTTCGTAGTGTGAATTAAAACACGCACTGGTTTATTAACGAACTAAACTATTTATTTAATAACTTAACTAACAAAACACTTAATAACTAATTATTTATATTACTACTAGTTTATTTATTTGCACTTTATTTATTTATTTCTTCGCGAGTACCAAAGGTCCACTGACTCAGTGTTACCATATTCTGTCAAAAAAGGACCGTACGTTTCGTTCGAATTTACCTTAATTACAAAATGACACAATGAAACAATGCAAATAAATGCAATTATGTCAAGTTGACGTTATTTAATATTGTCCATTGAGTCATTTTTGTAATTAAGGTAAATTCGAACGAAACGTACGGTCTTTTTTTGACAGAATCTGGTAACACTGCACTGACTGCTCTGTGATGCGTCGTTCCTTATATATTCAGCGCCTATGTCTTCTGAAACATTCCAGCGAGCTCCACACTCTCGATTATTCGAGCGCTGAGTCACCGGCGATGACTCATCGGCGATGACTCATCGGCGATGAGTCATCATTCCGAGATCCAGAGCCGTACTCGCTACAATACCTACCTTAAAACACACACAAAAAGCCCAGCACAATGTAAATACCACAACCAGAGGGAACAAAATGTCCTCGGAAATGTCTATTTCTTTCAAATTATTAAATTTCAAATGGGTAGTGTACAATTGCACAAAGAAGTTAAATATCAACTAAAATAATTTATAAGTTTGCCTAAAAACAAAGCGAAATCCTGATAAATCAAAAGAAACCGCACATTGCGGCGCGTGCCATTGATCCTTTAATAATAATATTAATTCATTTATTTGCCCAACGGAGTAAAATTCCAATAACAGAACAAAAAATATAATTAAAGTTTACATTTCATTTACTAAAAAAAAACTAATACTAAAATACAAAAAAATCAAAAATAAGTCTTTGCCACCCTAATAATATCATTTAAACTAGTAAAAAACAAATCAGTCATGACTAATACCGTTATAATTTCTTGACATGGTAAACACTGGTGATTTAATTAAGGTTATTGTTCGTGCACTGTCAGAGTAGAACATATCACTAGATCGAGAATTAGATCTGGGTACATGAATATTAAATAGAAATAAAATGTTGGCCGAATCAATTTGGTTTTTAAAAAGCTTAAATAAGAATTTAAGACCGGAACAAGCTCTCCTGCATTGTAGGGAATCCATATTAAAGCGATCCAACAAAAGTTGATGATTTATACCCCTAGCGGGGTAAATGTTATCTAAACGGAAAGCGAGAAATTTAAGAAATTTACGCTGAACATTTTCGTGCATGTCAATATAATTGTTATAGTAGGGACAATACAATGGAACAATATTCTAGTTTTGATCGAACGATGCAAAAATATAAAGATATCAAAGCGAATTGATTTAAAAAACCGATAGAGTTTCTGCTAATAAAACCTAATAACTACTAGAAACAACACGATTTACATGATCAGTAAATGACAACTTGCTATCAAAAGTAACGCCCAAATCATCAACACATTGAGTTAGCTGTAAGTTAACGTTATTAATTTGATAATTAAAAGTAACTTTTGTTCTCTTTAGAGTATAGGAACAGTATTTGCATTTTTTAATATTAAGTTTGAGTTTGTTGGAAATGCACCAATCATACACCCGATTTAGCTCAGTTTGAAGAGAGGCAATCATTCATTGAATCGACTTTGGCAAATAATTTTAGGTCATCAGCAAAAAGTAAATGTTGGCAATTAATTGCCAATGACAAATCGTTAATAAAAATATTAAACAATAAGGACCCTAGATTAGAGCCTTGAGGGACTCCAGTCAAGTCGACACAAAGAAATCAGACCTAAAGCCATTGTAGGTTACAAAGAGCTTACGGTCGGCTCTATTATAAGGAAAGCCGCTTTTTTATTTAAAAATGGGAAATAATAGTACGATAACTTTTTGCCGCCTTTAGATTTTTGACGCCCTTCGAATTTTGCCGCTATTCGATTTTGCACCTCTTTAATTTTTGCCGCCCCGTTCAGGGGCAAGGCTGCACGTACCCTGAAGCCGGCCCTGTATAATTCCATAGACAAAATGGGCCTGTACTACTCCAAAGTACAAAAGCCTGAGTACTGAAAAGGTTACCGACCCTCTTAGTGACCTTATTACATAACAAGCAGAACTTACTTTTTTATTTAAATTATTTATTTGTGTTTCCCATGTTAGTTTTCGATCCAAGTAAATACCCAAGAACTTTATGCTTTCCACAGATTCAATTGACTTACTCAAAATTGTAATCTGGAGAAACATTTTTTGGTAAAAATCGCCTATAAAATGTTTTGTTTTTATTAATAGTTAGTCCATTTTCGTCATACCATTTATTGAACAAGTTAGATTTTAAAGAGGCTTCGGAGCATAAGTTTGAAATATTAGGTTGGTATGATCTGCATAAAGAATAATTTTCTCATTTAGATTTCAGATTTTATTTATATATTTTTAAAAATCATTTAAATATCTACTTATTGGAGTAGATAAAGTATAGTAATACACTCGAGATAATGCGCATTATCTCTCGTATACAAATTTACTATTTAATAGTTTATGATATAATCGAAGATTTTCACGCTCGATGAGTTTTGATGAATACCCGAATAAAATAATGGGTTTGGTTTCTTTTTCCAATATATGATGAGACATGAAAACTCTTAATTTAAATCATCAACTGTTATTTGGTAAATTTTAAGAACAAATAAGAAAACTCATCAAATCTCGAAATAGGACGGTTGCTAAAGTTGCACTTATTAACGCACTGATCGTGTGGAACATCTTGCTGGAACCTTATTTTTAGAATAATTTAGAGATTTTGTGATGTTTTATGTCCCCTGTGATCATTTTTTTATCATTTTTGTTTAAAGGTTAAAAAATAATTAAAATGTTTAATATCTTCGGAAATACTCTAGATATTATTTCCAATTTTGTTGTATATTAATTGTATATAAAAATACTTATTTTAATTAGAATTGTTATTTTATTGCCATAGCAGTGGCGTCCCCATGTGGATATTTTTTAATAAGCCTGGTCAATACTACATAAAAATGGTATCTTTTTTCTCTCTTAAAATAAAATAGTCAAAATTCTACTATTTGAATTAGTATCAGCATTGTTTACTAATAAAATAGTCGTTTCCAGTTTTAAGTAGTTATTTTTTACCACTGAAATAATAAAAGTTATACTAATTAAATATAAGTCAATTTCTTTGTTTTAAAAGTAAAAAGTAACTAATTTTTTTAATCGCTTTTAATTCTTGCGGCCAACAACAAATTCTTCTTAAAGTTAAATGCATGTAGGCATCATGGTTATATGGCCCTTAAAAACAAACAAAGGTGCAACAAGTTTAGCTCAAAACAACAAGATAAAAAGGATATTTAACTTTAAAATAATATTAACAAAATTTGTAGAAATTATAACTGATTTTTATAAAAGTAGCAGTGTCGTATTGGTTAGATATCAGCTTGACAAGCGACAGACTCGAGTTCAAACTAAGGCTGGATCAAAACTTTAAAATTTAAATCTACTAATTTGACTATTATATTTGGTAGAATTTGACTAATTATTAGTGACTGCTGTTTTTCTATGAAAATTATTAAAATATGACTTATTATTAGTCATTTTTGACTAATTCATTTTAAGAGAGCTCTCTAGAGTTTTTATTAGAAACTTTAAATGATTTATTAATTCCACAAGGTTTTGTAATGTATTAATAAATCGTGGTTGATATTGCCAAATGCCGTACCTATGTCAAAAATTATTAACTTTTTGGGAGGACATAAAACTTTACGTTGACTGTTTAAATATTAAATTTGTTTATGCATATTGTTCTAGAAATGCACAAAGGACTTGTGACAGAGTTTTAATCAATTTTACATATATTTTTTTAGCAAAAACATTGAAAACCTGAAAATCAACTTTTCAGTAGTAAATCGAGGAAAATTTTTCAAGAAAATGTCATTAAAACTGTTGTTGTGACATAGTTTTAATCGATTGGAAAAATATATTTTTTTTGCAGGAACATTGAAAACCTGAAAATCAACTTTCCAGTAGTAAATCGATGCTAATTAGACCAATTATATAAAAACTGTATAAGTTAAATGATTTTTTTAATCATCCGGTTTTAAATAAAATAAATGTAAAAGCAATTTTTAATTGTCAAATTATGTTTAAGCTGCACGCGCACATCTACAATGTACATCTTACGCGTTACGCTTGACGCTCAATTTCCCCCCGGCTAGCCGGGCTGTAGTGATGTAAAAAAAGTACCTACTCGTTACTTTGTAACGGGTATTTGCCCAATACTCAAAGTACCTATTCCTTGTTGTTGGAAATACTCGTTACTCGTTACTTTTATACCTATGTCCTATAGTGTATAATTACTATATTGTTTGTGCTACTTCTGTTCCGTGCGAACGCATATTTTCCAAAGCCGGTCAAATAGTAACCGAACGCAGAAACCGATTAAAATCATATAATGTGGAAAAAGTACTATTTTTGCATTGTAATATTGATTTATAAAAATATGCAGTATAAATTAAGTTATTTTTTAATTTTCAGTTTAGTTTTTTGTTTTGTCTGATGATATTTTATTTTATATACTTTTTTGTGTTGATATGAAAATGAAAATAAAGAAGTTTTGTTAATGTTCTCTGTTATATTTTTTTAATTTAAAAGTTTAATTTTAAAAATTTAAAATTTTTTATTTAAAAGTAACAAAAACTATTATCATTACCATTACCTCCAAAAAATACCAAATCGCCTATAATTCATAGGCATATGCATATGCGAATAAAAAATAATTAAAGAGTAGAGTAACCATGTACTTAGTATTGTACTGATACTGAAGACTAAAAGTACCGAAAGTAACGAATTTAAAGTAACGGGTATTAATATTAAAAGTAACGAATCGGTACAAGTATTCAAAAGTAACGAAAGTTTACATCACTACCCGTCTGCATAATGTATGTTGCAAAACACGCATTTGTCTCCTGTTCTTTATTAGCTTTGTTCGCGGAGCCCATCCATGACTAGTTCCGTATCTGTATAGGGTAAATAATCACGAACCATGGTACGCATGCGCGATTCGGAACCGATCAAGAATTAACAAATCTCCGCGAACGCGTTTCTAACCGCAACCATCAGTCAGCTGTTTTGTGACAAAACTTTTTGGGGAATCTCCTTCCTGATAATTAATTAGTATTTAGAATTGCTAAATCGCTCTGCTAAATCATCAACAATCTCTTTGCTAACTCGAAAATGCTCCCTAAATAGCTGATCATCGAACATGGAAACAATTTCTTCAAAATATGCAGTATTTTTAGGAACAATTAAATCTAAACTATTTTCTAAATCTTCATCACTGGATGATAGATGATCACTCATCTATAAAATAAGCTAGGAAATGAACAATGCAAGTAAAAAATAAGTATTTCAACTTACGTTTTCGTTTAACAATTTAATTAAAAACAATATAGAACATATAACCTAAAATAAACTTTAAACAATAATGAACAATACGCATGTCTGACAGCTAGTACATGCTAAAATCCTCGGATCGTTTTGACTTGTCAGTAATTAGTTCGAAACTGGTCCCGAAGGCTCCGCGAACGAGTGATCCAATGTCAAATGTGCCGATTTTTACACCGCGAACGCTAAAATTGCCAGTGCGCATGCGCAGTTGTCGCGGATTGATCACGGATGAGCTCCGCGAACAAAGCTATTAATATTGATGAAATAAACAATTTAGTTTTAAAAAAAGTTTTATTAAAAAAAATATGTGTGAACAATCTAAAAAATCCTTATTAAAAATAATATATACTCGACCAGAGTTTCTTTTCTTATTTAATCTCCGTGATTTCTTTTTTATATTTGTGTTTTATAGTATTACCTATAAATTAAAAAAATATGTTATAATATTTAAATACATATACGCAGTTCAAACTTACTACACAAACATATAATAGGATATTCAAAAATAGCACAAAGAAAAAATGCTATAAGCAAAGTGATCACAAAATCTCCACAAAATTCATACATGACATTAGTTTCAGAAAAGTACATGGTGACTTTTTTGCTCATATACCGAACAAGTACTACCAAAAAGTGCACTAAATAAATAGAATATGATAACTTTGATAGAATCTGGAAGACTGGCATGGACAAGAAGGCATTTGCAGGTCCTAAAAGAACATTATTTAAGGAATCTTTTTATCATGTTTTTACCTAAGTCTTTTACACTAAAATGTTCAAGCTAAACAAGAACTTATTAAAGAAAATACATTTTGATAGTTCGTTTATAGGACTGAATTTATCATAGAACTTCTTACTATTTAATTTTAAAGCTTACCTCCATAGCCAGTAACACATAGTGTAACCATAAGGCAAACCAATATTGCCCATGCATTCCTATTAAATCCATTGTAAAATGTTCTTGCCCATATTCCTGTTTCCTTTTCTGTTATAATATCAGATCCGCCATATGTGCATGCCAAAAGCCCACTGAGAATTATTAACCAAAGTGTGAAAATAATCTAGCAAAACAAACAATAAATTTGCCAGAAAACTGGGGATTATTAACAAAAAACTTACACTTTTTTTGTATTTTGGTGGAAATTGTATGAAGTCTCCATGTTTGTTATGTTTATAAATAATCCAACCAAATAACATACCAATAACATATGGCCCAAATCTGGTGTATGGTTGGAAATAATATTTAGTATAATAAGTATCTAAAGACCTTAAATAATTTAAATTATATAACAAAAATTTAATTAAAGTAAAATTAACTATTTCTAACCAAGTAATCATTGATCCTGGTACATCCAGAATATAGGTAACCAAAAAAGGACTTACAAACCCAAGAAAAATGTAGCACATAATGGCGATAAGTCCAGCCTTTGGCCATTTTACCAAAGGAAATGATATTATTGGTGAGACCAGGAATAATTGCATATCCAATGATAAATACCACGTATGAAGACAACACTAAAAATATGAACAAAATGATATATTAGCAAAAATATATTATTAAATTTAATTTCTTGGTTCGACTCTAAAATTTAGGTATGCACTTTCTTAATCAAGATGGCAGTTTGGAGGTTTACTTCTAAGTATACAAAGAAGCTTTACAAATTGAGTCAAATAAAAAGCAAGTAATTATTTACCATGCTAGTGGGATTGACATAATTTTGTATGTACAAAAGTGCGGACCACCAATATTGTCTACAAGGTTGAACCGTGTATTCATTTGCCCCCCAAAAAGGTCCACTGCCCAAATAACGAATCAACGATGATTGCACGAGGATAATTATTGCATAGGCAGGTGTTAATCTAAAATATAATTTTTTTTGTAAATATAGTATTTTTAGTTTAACCAGGTGTTTTATCAATGATAAATTATGAATAACACTTAATTTTAAAATAAATATAAATCGATTAAAGTGGATTAAGTTTTTTATTAAATTAAATTCCCATCTGATTTGTGTTATGAATCATAACTTATGATATATGATAGTAATGATGATGTAATAGTTATTATATATTTATTTACGAGGGAAGCACTAAAATTTTTTAAAATTGTAGCATTTCTTGTTTTGTGTCAAATTGAGTAAGAAAATATAACAGGACTGATTTAAGTTAAGTATTCAAAATCCTAGCAGGTGATAAAACTTGTATTTGATCCATTCGTAGAAAGGTTTGTTTTTGATAAAATGATCGCATGAATAAACACAAATTTCGTATTCTTTTGAATCTAAAGAAGCAGAGGCCTTCAAAATACATATTTCTAACATACCCACTTCTGGAATAAGTGCTTACACAACTGGTTCGATCATATTTAAAATGGTATTGATATTTAAGTGCTACCCAGGTACTTTAAGGTATATTTACCTTAAAATTCTAAGTAAATACATTATAGGCACATTAACTTTAGTTTTCATAAAAGTATAAACACTTAGAAGTCCTCCAAGAGCTAAAAACGTGTCCACAGATATAGGGGCTGCCAGGATATAAATATTTTTTGTTTCATGAATAAAATTGTTGGTATCAAATGGATTTATAAGTCCAGTTCCCAATATGTTGCTATGTACGTGACCAAAAATAACCCATAAACAACTAATTGATTTTATTCCGTTGATGCACGATAGTTGTCCAGTGTTTGAGCTGGTTTTTAATATTTTTCGCCCATTTGACAAAAGAGAAAATGCCAATAATGCATAGTGGTATGGTTCTTAAATATAAAGAATAAGTAACAGTTGTATTTTAAAAAAATATATGTGTCACTTACTTTTTTCTAGATAATATAAAATTAAATCATATACAGTACTAAGTATTACTAGGACAGCAAAAAATCCAAAAATTTCTCTATAAAAGATATTAAAAATCTAAATATTGTTATCATTATCATAAAACTAGCTTCTTACAATGCTAACATGTCAATATCATCAAAATGCTTGGGTTCTGCTTTGGTGTAGCAAAATTCATCAGTAAAAATTACTTCAGAAAATACTTTGGAAAAATCTTCTCTGGTGCAAAAATTAGGTAAACAACGACCAGATCGTACTGGTATTTGTGTGTTATTGTATTTTAGAGTTATTGTACCTAAACAATATTTTCCATATAATTTTTGATTGTCGACTTCATCAAGTATATTAAAGCATTCATCGTAATTTCCAATGTCATACAAATTTGACTGAAGCATTCCAGAAGGAATAAATCCACTGGCGTCAATCACTAAATCAATAAAATCCATTACCTACATACTAATGAATATACAAAAATTATACAAACTTTTTATTTTCGTTGCTAAAGAACTTCTATTTATGGCCCAGCCGCACTGTTTACTAACACTATAGTTTTGTTTTTCAACACTTCGTGCCATATTAAAAATACTGAAACCTGGTATATTCAAGTCACCAAGAGAAGAGTGAAATATAAGGGAAAACAACCCAACCACCAAATAGGGGAAAATCATTTTGCGTTTGGCAGGAATTTGTAGAAATTAAAGAATCTTTGTATGATTAATCTTTGGAAATCATTGATACATATATTTATATGATTTCTTACACCTTACACAGAACTTTTTTTTGATGCCAAAAAGCGATTTAAATGTTCAATGCCAAATTTGTATTAAAATATTTTAATAAATTTACCTACTTCGATTTTAAGTTAATTATAAACCGTGACCTAAAAAGCATAGATAAGTAAAAATTTAATAAAATAAATTCAGTGAACTGGAAGTTTTGTATTTTTAATGATTTTGACTTTACAGCTTTGACTGGTGAAATAATTACTTTTATAGTTATAAGAAAAATACTAAATAAATGTGTATTTACTAAATACTATTTAGTTACACAAAAATATTTAAAAATAAAAATAAACAGAAGATTCGATTTTTAAAACATGTTTTTCGGCTGTTAAGTGTTTTTAGGTTTTTGTAGATTTTTTGCACAAGTGCTTAATTTTATAAAGATTATTTCGAGGAAATATAATAATCTTTACACTATTTATTATTAGATATAAGATAATGGATTTTTTATTTAATGAAACAATATTAGTTTTATAATCAATTAAGTAATGGATTATAAAAAAATTGTAAATTCAAAATTTGTTTAAACTATAAAAACTATATATCAAGTAATATTATTACTGTAATAATGCGACGTTGTCAAGTTGACAGATGACAGATAACAGGTGACAGGTGAAAGATGACAAAGGCATTTAAAATTTAAGGTGTGGGTAATAAATCGTTGTACATTCTATATATGTGAATGTAGCTTACCTACATTTTTATAGTTTAAGTTTCTTTAAAGAATATTAATAGTTTTCAGTATAATCTGAAATTTAAATACTTACAAATATATATGAAAGAAGTGAAAATCACAATAAACTCGCTAAAATAAAACTTGATTAAACTATTAAAGATATAAAAAAATATGTTTAAGAAATGTGTAGAAAATTAAATAAACTACAACTTTTTGATCTGTTAAACTAATAAACATTAAATTTGTGTCTGAGATGAGGGTATGCAATGCGTACTAGGTTGCATATTTTAGTGCGACATTTTTTTTTTAAGTGCCACCTGGAAATCTTATAACCGGTCAGAAAACAAAAATGTTGAGCTATTGCAAAGCTCTTAATCTTTATTTTAAGCCGTTGCTATTCAATTTTTAAATATTTGGCTTTAAAAACCAATGTTTTATTCTTTTCTCCTTCCGCTCGTACAGTTAAAATATTTTTTTCGAATTTCGGTTCTAAAATCTTTATACAGGATGAAATTATCTTCAAAAATGTCTATTTAAACAAGTCGTCAGTTGAATATGTTCTTCACAAATTGCCGTTCTACTCGAAAATCTTCTAAAATAGCAGTAAATCGTATTTGAAGACTAAACTATTGATTGTAGATAAAAAACGTAAATGAAAATTTTGTAGGGAATTTTGTGCCCTACAAATTTATTTAGAAATATTTGTATGTATCACTTATAGTTTAGCTTGTACAGCCACTCTTTCACGTAACTCTAATAGTATAGTTATTAGTCAAAAACTGAATTTTTAAGAATTTGACACTTTGAGTGGCTTTAAAAGCTAAACTATAAGTGATACAGAAAAATATTTTCCAACAAATTTGGAACCGAAATTCGAAAAAAAATATTCTTACTGTACGAGCGGAAGGAAAAAAGAATAAAACAATGTTTTTTAATGTTTTGTAAAGGGAAATATTTAAAAATTGAATAGCAAAGGTTTCAAATAAAGATTAAGAGCTTTGTAATAGCTCAAAATTTTTGTTTTCTGACCGGTTACAAGATTTTCAGGTGGGAGTTTGAAAAACATATGTCGCTCTAAAATGATGCACCCTAATGCATACTATGCATTATGATATGTTTTCAAACATTAAATTTGTGTCTGAGATGAGGGTATGCATTATGATAGTTAATCAACATTCACCAACATATAATTTATAAAAAAGTTTGCTTTTGTGTCCAGAAAAAGGTTTTGCTAATATTTAAAAATACAATACAAGGTTCCTTAAAACGTGGCAATGCCGCAACACTGGTGTCGATGAGTGTGGCTCAGTTTGCATGTACATGTATAAAAGCTCATTCACATCCACTTAATAAAGGTAACTTAACTTAAGAAACCTACGTCTGTTGTTGTCTGTTTACTTTAACTTAATACACGCAAAGACCGCAATGAAACATCGTTGTAGACTGGGTTGCCTATCTATCTATAAAAGTGAAACAAAAAGATAGCGCTATATCGTTTTACTGGGCATGTGATTGGCTCACGTAAGAAACCTATTCCCTTAAGTTGAGCTGGACCCAAACGTTAAGTTACGTTTGATAAGTTTTCTACGTAAACAGCTGCATTGGTTTCAATGTATTTCAAAATACGTCTTTCACGTTAGTTAAGTTAAGTTATGCCTCTGTCACAATAGTGTTGATGTTAATGTTGAGTAGTGTTCACAATAATGTTAGCGGTATGTTAATGTTTTAAATTTAGCGGGCAGTAAAACAAGGATTGCCAACCATGCATATAAATGTGTATTGTTGCACTAGTTCGATTTTGTCCTCGGTGAGAAGCGCATCGCTCGTGCATAGCTCCATGAAAAAGTGTGAAATATAGTTGACTTTGACTCAGGGAGGACAAAATCGGATTCCAGTCCTAGATAATATTCCTCGTTTTGTCCTTTTTTAAAGGAATAGAGAAATTTATATGAACATATAAATTTCAAGGTTATATAACCTATTTGTGTCCACGTGTTCGTTAGAAAACCGTTGTTTTTGGTTCTTCGAAAATCATTGGACGTTAAAACTAGTAACTGGGCAGTAAGAGCCTAATCGGCTCAAGTCCAATTCTCTCGAAAGAGAGAATAAAAAGTATAGAAGAAGAAGAAGAATGCACTAGTTCCAAAAGTAGTAGCACATCAATCATTTTAATAACATTTACAACAAACTGTTTGAAAACAATAATAAACACAGCATCCATAAAACAAACAAAGCCAAAGTAACCTACAAACATTCAACGTCACTTTTGTGCGCTTGGCGCATGCGTGCGCTCATTGCTCCCATTGGTAGATGGTACCGGAGATTTTAATGTAAATGGTAAAACGCAAACATTTTTTTTTACAACCATAACATCACCATCACCATTACCATCATTGTGAACGGATACACGTATTTTTCTATGCTTTGGATATTAACATTAACATTACCATTACCATTAACATTAACATCAACACTATTGTGACAGAGGTATTACGCTTATTAAGTGGATGTAAATGAGCTTTTAGTTTCAGTTCAGTTCTCTTAACAAATAACGCGTCGTTGCGTCATAGGTTATTAGCCATCATTCGGACAGTATTTTATATTTTTATTAAAAATTAGCACGACAGATGCACCATACCTTATCAAGTATATGGTAATTTCTATACCATAATTAGAAATAATTTTGTTTAGCGCTTTATTACCGAAGACAAAATTAGTATTTGAAAAAATAGATGCCAAATCGCACCTGCTCATGATCAAGATTTACCTAAAGCTTACAACTCAAAATACACAAAAAGTTAAAAAATGAACCCTTTGCTCTTTATGTTATGTTTATAAGCAGGTACATTCTAGAACTTTTCCATACAATGTCAAATTAATTCAAAATCAAATAGACTGCTTTTATAAAAGTTCAACTTTACAGTCTATTATTAATTAAATTCACTGTTTTGTTTAAAGAAATTACATAACCAATGATTATTTTGAACTATATCCATCTGTCCAATTTATATTAGGTCGTAAAAAACTTAACCAAAATAAACTTGCTATCCCTTATCAAAAACATACAAACAGTTTCATTTTGTATTTTCTGCAATTAGAGTCTAATAGAGTATAAAATTAACATAAATCTGGCAAATAACGGATTGTGCTTTTTGCTTGGGCCCCGAAGTCGAGTAAATCTTTTCATAGAAAATTTATGTCTACGCGTATTTTGCCTCCCTCGGGCCCAAAGTGTGCGTAACACACTGACTTTTCTTTCTAGTTTATTTTCAAAGAATGTTTTAGATTCGAATGTCTGCCTTAATCAAAAGTTAGGTTCCTTTACTGAGTGGATAGTAAGCCTTTGGTTGTAACTTAATGTGATTAAAAAGTTTTAAATTTAATTTTAGAATAATATTATATTTATGTTGTTTATAAAATAAGAGGCACTTCTCTGCTGGTGTGATTTATTTTAAAAATCGACTAGTTTCGCCTTTGAGGCATCATCAGGGTTTCTACAAGAAATAACATTACATTTTTTTAAATATAGTTATAAATATGTAAAAATAAAAGTAGAAAGACTTACACGTCAATGTTAAAAATTCTAATATATACACAATAAAATTATTATTATTTGGTTATTTATATAAATAAACTTAAATTTAAATTTAAATTACACGATATTGTTATTGTTATATATTAAAATATTAAAACTGTTTGGTTATATTAAAATTAGGGTTGTCACATTGTTCCAACTTTAGGTTAAATGTTTAAAGATTGGTGTATAAACTAGATTAGCTTGTTCGTTTAAGCATTGGATATTGTTCTTTTTAATTTGTTTATGAATTTCGTACGCGTCTAACAGAGTTAATTTGTGACTTTTTTCTTGTATGTGTAGAATTGTTGTATTATTTTCTATGTTAAAGTGGTGTCCTGTTTCTTCTAAATGATTTCCAAAATTTGAATTGTGATTGTTGTTGTTTATGTGTTCTTTTACTCGGGTATTGAA